TCTCTTCTTATCGGAGCCATGAATAACCAATGCCCTATAAATAGCAGTGCTCTCTGGTCACCCTTCCCGTAAGCTCTGTGTTACCATTACCAGCTGGAAATTAGCTTTTTTTCTTCCATATTTTCTATACTAGTCACCTGGGCTTTGTATGATGAGGGCTTTATAGTGCCCTAGGAAGCCTTCCCCTCACCCGGCTGGTCACCAATGCGGTCATGTATTAATTCATCACAATACATGCTCACAACACAGTAGAAAGGTAAAAATGACGTTTAAAAAGTAAATTTGAGCTCCTTCATTCCCGCTACATTGAGAACATTCCACTGTCAGAAGAGATCATCACACCTGCCCTATGTGCTCATCTCATTCATAGTAACTAATGGAACGCTCAGTTCCCCTAAAAGTGATATTTGAGTTGTTGAACTGAATCAGCGCTGATTTCTTTTGTCTTGAATATTCCAGTAATACTCCTACCATTGATTTTCACTCTTTCCATCTAGTCTTGGGTGTTCCCAACCTTAACCAATTCAATACCGTGCAATTTTACACCTTCCTGCCCAGGCCATTTTTCAGGTTTCAGCGCTCTCACAATTTGAATGACAATTGCGCGGTCATACAACATTGTACCCAAACTAAAATTTTATCATTTTCTTCACACAACTAGAGCTTTCTTTTGGTGGTATTTAATCACCGCCGGGGTTTTTATTTTTTGCTAAATTAACAAAAAAAGACCAAAAATTTTGAAAAAATCACACGTTTTTCTTTGTTTCTGTTATAAAAGTTTGCAAATAAATAATTGTTCTTCATAAATTTAGGCCGAGATGTATTCTGCTACATGTCTTTGGTGAAAATAACCCAAATTAGGATGTATTTTTTAGTTTGTAGGAAAGTTATAGAGTTCACAAACTATGGGATAGATCTGAATATTGATCAATCCTGAAGTACTGACAGCCAATCTAATTTCTTGAGGTCCAAGAATGTCAGAACAGTACAGATATCCCCCAAATGTCAGGACAGGACAGATATCCCCCAAATGACCCCTTTTTGCAAAGTAGACAGTCCGACGTACTTCATAAGAGGCGAGTTTTTTGAAGTTGTATTTTTTTGTCATAATTTTTTGGAAAATGAAAAAATTTAAAAAAATTAGTTTCACTATTTTTCTTTACATACTGTCACCAGTGCAGTACAGCATCATCATATAACTGGCATGGCAGTGATCAGGGACACTGACTGGTGACAGTATGAAAAAAAAAAAATATTTTTTATTTTTTTTTAATTATTTTTTATTCATTTTTTTTTTTTTTAAGATTTTTTTTTTCATATTTCACTATGACCAAAGTAGTACAATGTTACCATAGTAACATTGTACTACTTTGGGGAAGTGATCAGTATTTTTTTTATTTATTTATTTATTTATTTTTTTTACACAATTTGCTTATAGCAAAGAATTACTTTGCTATAAGCAAGCATTTACCTGAATGACATCGATTCATTCAGGGTTTTTTTTTTTCTTTTGTGCTTAGCTGTGATTTGGCCACAGCTAATCACATGACATGTGCATGTGATTAGCTGTGACCATTCACAGCTAGACACTAGTATACAATGGATGGCATGAAGGAAGCCATCCATTGTATACAACTGTCATGTGACCTGCTGTGATTGGTCACAGCAGGTCACATGGTACCGGCAACGGGGGCCGATACTCAGATCTGTCATCGGCCGTGTCCGAGGTACACGGCCGGTGACAGATTGCGCCGCTGCGCGGCTCTGCAGGAGCGCAATCTGCGCATGTGTGGGAGGACGTCATATGGCGTCCACCCGGAACGCTGATGACATTTGCCGGCTGCCATTCGGCCATAGGGCGGGCAGCAAATGGTTAATATATTCCAGTTCATTCTGATGCTTTCTCATTAACATGAAATAAATCCAACAGAAAGAGTGAGACCCCTCATGATAGCCACAGCAGGTGTGCAGACCCAGGAGCAACGCCATGTTGGCTGTGGGCAGAGGTCAAATCACCATGTTTTACATACTGCATGTTGAAATGCGTTTTTATATATTACAAAATATATGAAAAATATTTTAAAAAATATATATTTTTTAAATATATTCTTCAGATTTTAACATATAAAAAAGTCATTTTAACATATATTTTTACATATATATTTGTAAATGCATTCCAAAAATGTAGATTTGTATTTTTAAAGACATACAGTATATTTGAAATTTTTTTATTAAAAATATTTTTCATATATTTTGTAATACAAACACATTTCAACATACAGTATATATATATATATATATATATATATATATATATATATATATATATATATATGTATATTGAAATATATTGAATATGGCAAAAATTCTAGTATTTCAAATACATGTCAATATATTTGGGATGAATATTTTTTAAAATATATTTCAAATATATTTTTCTTCCATGTGGGTAGGTACAGCGAATATCTCCAAAACATGCAGCATGAGAAAATGCCCTTCCTCCATGCCAAATCTGGATGATTCACTGACCCCTAAATGATCAGCATGCTTCCCTCTGTAGTGACCTAACCATGACAGATCTGGATGATTCATTTGGATGATTTACTGACACCTACACAATCACCATGCTTTCCTCTGCAGTGACCTAAAGACTGAAAAAATGCTCTTCCTCCATGAAGCAACAGGAAAATTTACCTACATAGTCATCATGCTTCTCCCTGGGGTGACCTAAAGATTGGAAAAGGTGCCCTTCCTCCATGCCAGATCTAGATAATTCACTAACACCTACAAGGTCATCATGCTTTCCCCTGGAGTGACCCAAAGGTTTGACTAGATGTCCTTTCTTAATGCCAGATCAGGATAATTCATTGACACCTACATGCTCACCATGCTTCCTCCTGGAGTGACCTACAGGTTGGAGAAGGTGCCCATCCTCCATGCCAAAATGGATAATTCACTGACACCTACATGGTCCCCATACTTCCCTCTGAGGTGACCTAAAGGTTGGACAAGACACCCTTCCCCCATGCCATAACAGGAAAATTTACTGACACCTACATGGTCACCATGCTTCCCCTTGAAAGTGACCTAAAGATTGGACCCTTCCTTCATTCCAGACCCTACCCTTCCTCCATTCCAGATCTAGATATTTCACTTACACCTACATGGTCACCATGCTTCCCCCTGGAGTGACCTAAAGATTTGACAAGATGCCCTTCTTCCATGCCTGATCAGTATAATTAATTGAAACCTACATGCTCACTGTGGTTCCCCCTGGAGTGACCTAACGGTTGGAGAAGGTGCCCATCCTCCATGCCAAAATGGATAATTCACTGACACCTACATGGTCCCCATACTTCCCTCTGTGGTGACCTAAAGGTTGGACAAGACACCCTTCCCCCATGCCATAACAGGAAAATTTACTGACACCTACATGGTCACCATGCTTCCCCTTGAAGTGACCTAAAGATTGGACCCTTCTTCATTCCAGACCCTACACTTCCTCCATTCCAGATCTAGATAATTCACTTACATCTACATGGTCACCATGCTTCCCCCTGGAGTGACCTAAAGATTTGACAAGATGTCCTTCTTCCATGCCTGATCAGTATAATTAATTGAAACCTACATGCTCACTGTGGTTCCCCCTGGAGTGACCTAACGGTTGGAGAAGGTGCCCTTCCTCCATGTAAGGTCTAGATAATTCACTGACACCTACATGGTCACCATGCTTCCATTCCTAGGGTGAGCTAAAGGTTGGAAAAGATGCCTTCTGCCATGCCAGATCTGGATTATTCAGTGACATCTATTTGGCTACCATGCTTCCCCCCTTGGGGTGACCTAAAGGTTTAACGTTTCCTTTTCTGGAATTTTCGGTGCGTAACCCAGACCCAAAAGGGCGTACCTATAATGCAGCAATTCTTTTAATTTTCCTTCCATAGTATCTTCTGCATTGTGCTAATGAGGGCTGGGTTCTGTGTTAGCTCAGCTCATGTCCTGCTGTAAATTGATTTTAGCAGCTGACAAATATGCTGAATTGGTTTGGCCTACATGCCTACTGTTCCCGCCTGTATTCATGTAGGTCATCTGCTATATTTATCTGCCTTTATTGGATCAGTCAAAGTAAAAGAAAAACTTTTATGACAAGGCGTCTTGAAAATATTATAGCTGCCACCTGCTAGAATACAAAGCAAACCTTGAGGTAGTGACTGATGACCGGACACATAAAAGGCACTATAAACCGTCACAAATCTTACAGCGGTATGCAGTTCTGTTGTTTGAATGTTCACTGCTAAACTCACAGGAGTTAATACCAAATACTGACATTACAAAAATTATTTTAATAAGAGTATTTTATTACTATGGGTACCATAAGGAAAGCAGAAAACTTTTAAAGTGTTACTAAACCTACAACAGTACAATCAGTCTGTGCATGCAGTAAAGCATGCTTGTTATACTCACTGTGGAACCTAAGGGGTTAATCCTCTGCATTGTGTAAAAAGGCTGTTTGATCCTGACTTCTCTGATCCTCCCCTTCTTCTACTGTCCTCAATCCATCTTCTGATAGAACAGAGCTTTGGGGGCAAGCTGCACATGCTCAGTTTGTTGTGTATTGCTGGAGAGTTCTTTTTTTCTTGGGAGAGTGCATGTGATCAGCACAGAGCCAATCAGTGATGTCCAGACAAAGGGTCAGGGGTTATGCAGCCTCATAGGACAGTCAAGGGACAGTGTAAACGCTTCCTACAGCTTTAACCAATGCTCTGCTGGACACTAATAGAAGTCACAAAACTGCTCTAACTGCTGATGAGAAAATGTTTTTAGCAGTTTTTATTTACTAAAATAAATGCATTCCCATGTTGTGTGTACTGTGGGAGACCAGATATAGTGAATGCAGGGTCCGGGGAGACCAGATATAGTTAATGCAGGGTCCGGGGAGACCAGATATCGTGAATGCAGGGTTCAGGGAGACCAGATATAGTTAATGGAGGGTCCGGGGAGACCAGATATAGTGAATGCAGGGTCCGGGGAGACCGGATATAGTGAATGCAGGGTCCGGGGAGACCACATATAGTGAATGCAGGGTCTGGGGAGACCAGATATAGTGAATGCATGGTCCGGGGATACCAGATATAGTGAATGCAGTGTCTTGGGAGACCAGATATAGTAAATGCAGGGTCCTGGAGACCGTATATAGTGAATGCAGGGTCCTGGAGACCGGATACAGTGAATGCAGGGTCCGGGGAGACCGGATATAGTGAATGCGGGGTCCTGGAGACCGGATACAGTGAATGCAGGGTCCGGGGAGACCGGATATAGTGAATGCAGGGTCCGGGGAGACCAGATATAGTGAATGCTGGGTCCGGGGAGACCAGATATAGTGAATGCAGGGTCCTGGAGACCGGATATAGTGAATGCTGGGTCCGGGGAGACCAGATATAGTGAATGCAGGGTCCTGGGAGACCGGATATAGTGAATGCAGGGTCCTGGGAGATCGGATATAGTGAATGCAGGGACCTGGAGAGCAGATATAGTTAATGCAGGGTACGGGGAGACCAGATATAGTGAATGCAGGGTCCTGGGAGACCAGATATAGTGAATGCGGGGTCCGGGGAGACCAGATATAGTGAATGCGGGGTCCTGGGAGACCAGATATAGTGAATGCAGGGTCCGGGAAGACCAGATATAGTGAATGCAGGGTCCTGGGAGATCGGATATAGTGAATGCAGGGTCCTGGAGAGCAGATATAGTTAATGCAGGGTACGGGGAGACCAGATATAGTGAATGCAGGGTCCTGGGAGACCAGATATAGTGAATGCAGGGTCCAGGGAGACCAGATATAGTGAATGCAGGGTCCTGAGAGATCAGATATAGTGAATGAAGGGTCCTGAGAGATCAGATATAGTGAATGAAGGGTCCAGGGAGACCAGATATAGTGAACGCAGGGTCCGGGGAGACCAGATATAGTGAATGCAGGGTCCGGGGAGACCAGATATAGTGAATGCAGGGTCCTGAGAGATCAGATATAGTGAATGAAGGGTCCGGGGTTTAGTAACACTTTATAAATTAATTAAATCTAATTCTATTGGGAAAACGTTTGCTCCCTGCTGATTTGAGAGCTCTAGTTCAGACTCAGCAGGGAATGTGTCAGACCTCTGCAAAGAGATCACTGCTTCAACACAAAGAGCAAGAGTCCTTCCCAACAGCCTGCTGGCAGGGGGGCAGGCTTTTTTACTCAGGATGTGGCTGCTTTCTACAGAAAACCAACTTTGAATGACTTTTGTTTCACTCCTGGGATGCATATAGCTGATTTAAACTGAAAGTTCAGCTGGACTTTGAAGATATAAGATAATTGTGTGAAAATTACCTAAACTTGTGTCAGATTCCTACACAGGATTTACAACTGATATTTTTTATTTAACTACTGGAGGTTCAGAGAGATGGAGAAAAGGAACAAAGAGATGTTAATGAATATAACGGACGTCTCAGTCAAGCGCAGATAGCTGACCACTCCATATTGACGCCATAAAGCCCATTTCGTAATCACATCTGTCCATCTTCATGGTGCTATGGGTAATAGTATACAAGTGTCTCTTATTGTAAGTAGAATATGTATTAATTAATGTAATCTATTTTTCTAGGAGCATAGCATGTCCTTGACTCATTGGACACAACATGAATAGGAAAGTGTGACATCACTGGACAGCGTGCGCAGAGAGTGACCCTGCTGATGCAGATTCATGGGCTGGATCCATTGTGCTGGCTGCCTGTAAGTCAAGCAGTATTGGGTTTCATGTGCAGCTGGAGCTGACGTCAGTTCCGAGCCCAGCCTGAGTATCGTGCTTCAATCTATCGTTTCATTTTCATCAGGGGACTATTTAAGGACTATTTACCTATCCTGATCATCCCTGTGATCTTCCCTTTGACTGATACCACTTTGAAAGAACAAGGACACAACAGAGGATAATGTTTATCACAGAAAAGAGACAGAGGAAACAAGACTTTGACCCCAAAGTGTCCAAAATAGGCGCAGAGTTAAAGTAGAACTAAAAATAATAAATACAATTTTTTTCTCCATTTTGGACAGAGTAGGGAAGGGTTAATCTGTTAGTTTTTGCCTTCTGTGATCCCATTGGGTAGATTTTCCTTCACTTCTTGTCCCATAACCAAAAGAGGAAGTGAAAAGGAAATCCCTCAAAGTGAAGGAATCTCTGGTTCAGGGGCAGACTGACCATTTGAGCACTCGGGCACCGTTGGGCCCGGGGTCAGTAGGGGGCCCCATGAAATGCCCCAGGTACCTTTTTATAGGCTTTTTTTGAGTGTGGGCAAGGACATAGGGACCCCATGATCCCCTATTGCCCAGGGGCCCCATGAGTTGTCAGTCCACCCCTGCTCTGGTTGTCATAAGGGTTGTCAGAACTAGTGTCCCTATTGGAAGATTCCCCCTCTATTCCGATGACACCCCCAAAATTTTGGATTTTTATTTCACTTTCAACGGTAAACAGGTCAAGCAGAGGTGGTGAAACTCCCGAACAGGGACACAGATGGCACTGAACACCCTAGAGGTGCTCTAATCCTTCTCCACTCCAAAATGACACATGGACCTGATTGACTGCTGTGGAGTTAAAGTGTTACTAAACCCACAACAGTACAATCAGTCTATATATGTAGTAAAGCATGCTTGTTATACTCACTGTGGAACCTAAGTGCTTAATCCTCTGCATTGTGTAAAAAGGATGTTTGATCCTGTCTTCTCTGATCCTCCCCTGCTTTCTATGTTCCCCATTTTTGTCTCCTGATAGATCACAGCCTTGGGGACACTCTGCACATGCTCAGTTTGCTGTGTACTACTAGAAAGTTTTTTTCTTTTTCTTGGGAGAGTACATGTGATCAGCACAGGGTCAGGGATTATGCAATCTCATAGGAGAGTGAGAGGAGAAAGAAAACTCCGCCTACAAACTTTAACCAGTGCTCAGCTGGACACTGATAGAAGTCACAAGTTTGCTATATACTGCTGATGAGAAAAGGAATTTTGCAGTTTGTTTACTAAAATATTTGCATTTCCATGTAGTGTGTACTGTGGGATATGTCCTGATATAGTAAATGCAGGGTCCAGGGAGACCAGATATAGTGAATGCTGGGTCCTGGGAGACCAGATATAGTGAATGCAGGGTCCAGGGAGACCAGATATAGTGAATGCTGGGTCCTGGGAGACCAGATATAGTGAATGCAGAGTCCTGGGAGACCAGATATAGTGAATGCAGGGTCTTGGGAGACCAGATATATTGAATGCAGGGTCCAGGGAGACCAGATATAGTGAATGCAGGGTCCGGGGAGACCAGATATAGTGAATGCGGGGTCCGGGGAGACCGGATATAGTGAATGCAGGGTCCGGGGAGACCAGATCTAGTGAATGCAGGGTTCGGGGAGACCAGATATAGTGAATGCAGGGTCCGGGGAGACAAGATATAGTGAATGCAGGGTCCAGGGTTTAGTAACACTTTAAATGGAGTGCAACTTGGCATGTCTTATCAGCAGAATTTCAGCATCACAGCGAACTGGAAAGCAAAAATTTAATGATCTCAGGGTTAGTTCCCCAAATAGGATCTTCTAATTATAGGAAAAGACTAGTTGGCACTGGGAGTTGACTGGAGTCACCTGCCCTCCAGCTTCCTACATCTCTTAGTAATTAGAGCGGTAAGACCTTCACACTGTATGTCCTTACTCTTATTCTGCTCACCATGGATAGTTGAGGAAAGTGGAAAAATAGAGCTGGACACAAGGTAATCTTATTGGCATTGCTATCTTAAAGTGTTCATGTTTATATAAACAATCTTGTTCCCGTACAGGCGGCTTTTACATTCCAGAGGATCTCCACAGTGTTCTTGGTTTGTAGTGTAACAAAAATGAAATTGAAGTGTCACACCATTCGGACTGAGAACTTATGGGGCCCCCGGGCAATAGGGGATCATGGGGCCCCTGTGTCCTTGCCCAAACTCAAAAAAGCCTATGAAAAAGGTACCAGGGGCATCTCATGGGGCCCTCTACTGACCCCGGGCCCTCGGGCAGTGCCTAAGTTTCCAAATGGTCAGTCTGCCCCTGGTCCAGATACAACGTTATTCAAGTAAAAGTCAGGAGGACAATCCAAAGCATATCCAACACATTTTGTGGTGACGCAAAAATACCCCTTCATAAGGGCTTGAATAAAAACAATGTGAATGGGCTAGAAGTGACCTGGACCTTGAATGGTCCATTAAAGGTCCGGTTCTCTTCTAGCCAAATAGAGGAGTTAAATTCCTCAGTGAGGACACAGAGAGCAATAAAAAAACAAACAGAGGGTCCAACCTTTACCAACTCTATCCAAAACTAAAGAAAATCCAGGTAACATCTGGGTTCTGCCTGGATGAATGTGGCCAAAGGCCCAGAAACACAACCAGCCTAAGAGTCTACGAGTTAGTGTTGCACATGGCTTCTACAAAACAGTCTCTCTATCTTCTTATAGCCTAGGATAGCAGCATAATCCTCAATGCTCTGCCTGACATCCTGAGAGCAATAAAAAAAAACAGAGGGTCCAACCTTTATCAACTCTATCCAAAACTAAACAAAAACTTTTTCCATTTACATACCCTTTAAACATTCTCATTAAGCAAGCTGTGTCCATATATTAAGGTTACATTTACTGCAATAAATGTTTTAATTAAATTCATTTACGACACAAAGAGATCAGAATCCAAATATCTATCATATTTCAGTGGAACTGGGTTATTCTGAGTTACGTTTTCCAGCTCTGCAATCCTGTTGACCCAATTAATGTGCAGAATTTTTACACTGTGATCATCGTCTTGGCACAACATGCATGCAATCTACATGAATTGAAGGGATTATTTGTATCTCTTCATGTACCTAAAAAGATCCAGAGATGACCTCGCTGCTGCAACCGTTTGTCAATAAACAAAATATAGATAGATGAATAAATTGGAGCATCATAGGATCTTGACTAAACTCTTGATGATAGGTCTTGATAGGAGGTAAGGTTGTAATAAACTGATATAAATTTTGCTGGTTAATTATTCCTTTGCCACAATTATCCACATATTGATGACCAAAAAACAATAAGCATATATTAAATTTAAAAAAATTAGTAGATGCTGGTGGTGCTTACATGTGTTGGCATGGAAAGGGTAGCCTTTAGTGCAGAGGGTCCCAGTGCAGGATAGATAAGAATGCAAACAAGAATTAAAGTTTGTAGTACTCTCTAACAACAATTGATAAGCCTGCCCCTGTGCCTGTAGATCAGTGTTTCTCAACCTTTTTTCAGGCAAGGCACCCTTTAAAATTATGGACAGTCCCGAGGCACCCTTTAAAATTATGGACAGTCCCGAGGCACCCTTTAAAATTAGGGACAGTCCCGAGGCACCCTTTAAAATTAGGGACAGTCCCGAGGCACCCTTTAAAATTATGGACAGTCCCGAGGCACCCTTTTAAATTATGGAC